GACTAGGACTGGGCGATATTAGAAATTATATATCGTGATGCATCGTCAGTTTTGCATCGCGATATAGTATTTTTGTATTTTGTATCGCGATATAGTATTATTTAATTTCATTTACTTGCAAGGCACAGAAAATCAGATTTCTATCAAAACTCCATACTCAAATTGGTTTAAATCAATTTATAAATTTGAAGATACATATGTTTTGCTTAAGAAAGATATTAAATAAATTGACTACAATGTACAAATCTTGCTTAAAATATTTATTGAAAAAATGTGTGTAGCTACAATATTTGAACCTCTTTATCGTTTATAAGGTATAAGCAGTCTTAATTTAAGTTAGATACTTTACTAAGCTTTTATCTAGAAATCAAAGAAAGTTTAAAACGATAGGTTTATGAATTTATTCGGAAATCAATTAGTTTAAGTGAATTAAATTTTGAAGAAAAAAAAAGTTTGAAGCTATAAAAAATAATTTTACTAAATGAGCCATAGCCAATTGAGCGAAATTGAAACTTCATATGAAATTTTTATTGTGAAATAAAAATATATCAACATTTCCGAATGTTTAAATGATAAAAGATGCTCTGTTTTTTCGAACATTACCCCCAGTACTAAACACCCTCTCTGTCGCTTTTGAAACATCATTAATTTTTATTTACTATTATTATTTCACATAAATAATTAAGTTCGTTTGACTAGAGCAAGGTTCGAATTTTAAACTAAAAAGTAAACATAAGTTTTGCTATAATTTCTTAAAATTTTCGCTCCTTGAAAGATTTATCAGTTTAAAAATAAGAAGGGAATTTTATAAATATATCTAGTTAAAATTATTGAAAGAAAATTTAGAAAATTTAAAAAAGAAGCTTGTTAAAAAATTCATCATACGCTTAAAACAAAGTGTTAAAAACTTTGTTTATTTTTAAAAAAAGCGTTTTTTACAAATCAATGTTTCCTTGTACTATTTTGCATAAATAATTACATAATTATTAAAATCGATCGTAACCTTCAAATTCTAAATGAAAAAGTAAACGCAAGTTTTGCTACGTTTTCTAAAAATGATCACGAAAATAACGAAAGATCTCTTAATTTAAAAATAAATCAAATTGAAATTTATCAATATATTTACCCAACATTTTTTAAAGAAAATTAAAAAAAATAAGTTCTTTAAAAAATATTTGTATGTTTAAAAAAGTGCTAAATAAAGTTAAAAAAACGCTTTTAAAACACCATTTTTTTATTATTATTATTTCACATAAATAATTAAATCAAATTGAATAATGACCGAATTATGAACGAAAAACAAAGTAAAGTTTAATTTCTTAAAAATAAAAACAAAAGAATTGTAAAATTTGATAATATATTTTCATTAACTAATAATATTAAAAGAAAATTTAAAAAAAAATTATCATACTCTCTAATAAAGTGCTAAATGATTAAATTATATAAGTATAATATTTTATACATATGTTAGCATATTTAGTACTACTTACTTAAGCCTTCATAAAATAACCTATGGATAAACGAATATTATAATTCAATGCAATTTTTTTTATTTCATTTAAAATGTTCTCGAGATATTTTAAAATACGCATAAAGTTAAAGTACGTACAAGAGTCCAACCATATTTACGAGATAGCGATTACCTCCTTCTTTTAGGGATATCAAAAATCGAAATCCTTCAAAGAAAATGTATGTTTATTTAGAGAAAAAATGTTTTTGTGCTTGGTTTAGAAACTTAAAATATCGTCTACCCTTATTAATTAGCAAATTTGAGCTCACCCTTCAACCGAGCCATTTAGGTTGAGTCTTAAAATATTAAGATCCGACTATTCGACCAAAAGTAATTCCGGGTGGTCCGTTTTATTATGCACTGCACATATGCATATTTATTTTTATATGTATTTAAATATAAATGTATTCTTAAAACTTAAAATAGACGAGCAGTTTTTTAAAAGTAATTACCGTGATCTCCACTGGCTACGCTCATGACTAACACAACAGAATTTTTTAGATTTTTAAAGGACCGTTTGCACTGAATGTGATTTTTTTCGGATGAGACAGAAATCCTCAAAACTCACTAATCACGTTGCCGCACGCGTGTAAAAGTGCATCCAGTGAAGATGGCGTTGTAACGAATAGTAAGGATACTTTTAAGAATTTTAATTAAAGATAGATAAAATTCGTAAATTAATTTTCCTGCTGGATGTGAATAATTAAACATTTAGTTTTAAAATCATTATAATTAAAAATGCACATTAAGGACACATTTTTTTAAACAAAATATAAGCAATGCAACCGTAAATTTGTTAAATATTTATATATGTTATATTATATTTGTAATAATAATTTAGTCCGCGTAAGACTATCTACCTTGCTAATGAATTGCCCACAATCAATAAATGCTCTTCATTTTGTTTTGTTTTAACAAGGAAAAAAGATAAAATAACTTATAAGCATTGCTGCCTTTGTGAATGTCTTTTTTTTAAAAAAGAAAACAATCAGATTTTGCGTTACACGTAAAGGGAAACCACGAAAATATCATTCAGATTGCTTGACGCTTAAAGAGTTCCTGCGAAATGCTCAGTAATCGTAATGAATTTTATGCAATAAATCATTTTTTAGCGTCTTTGACAGGCAGCCAATTATTTCGGTGAATATAACGAGATGCTCTTCATATTTTTTTGTAATTTTAAATTCATCCCAAAAATCAAAGTAACGCACAATTTAAATATCGGCGTAAAACAATGTTTATAAAAGTTATAAAAATAATTAATTTTAACCAAGATTAAGTTTAAACTTAAATGATCAAATTTTGCGTTGCACGCAAAGGAAAACCGTGAAATTGTTCTTCGGATTGTTTGGCGGTAATAGGATTTCAACTAAATGTTCATCCTTATCTCAATGAAATAATTTTTTATAAGCAACCATTTTTAATTATTATTTAGGCCTAGCCGTTGTGGCTCAGAAGATCAGGAGTCTCCTTGAGGTCAGGCTAACCGTGGGAGGTTTTCGTGGTTTTCCTCTCCATGTAACGCAAATGCTGGTTA